AAATCCTTTGATTTGGTAATGATCTGATTGATAGCTGGATGATTATCCGGCTCATTATTCCAACAATTTTAAAATAAACACAATTATAATAATAATTATTATAAGTAATGATTGAAATTAATTATATTTACCAAATATAAATTTTTACATAATCTTTAGGTGTATTAGGAAAAGGTGTCTCTCTAAGACCTTGTAAAATGCCTATTTCTAAATATAAAATACATATAATTTGTTATAAAAAGGTAGTTTACCACTAGATATTTCCAACCAATACTATAAATATCACTTTTTTCATTTAATTAGTAATATTTATACGAAAACTTTTTGGATCAATATAAGGAATTAATCCAAATAATTTTAATTAAAGGTTCCATATTTCTACGATTCTTTTTGACAATCCAAAATCAACTAACTTGATGATATCTTGATGGATCAATGTATTCTTGAAATGCTATTTATTATAAACAATTAAATTTAGTAAATAAAATAATTTAACACGTTATTCGTAATATAATTTAATGAATTACAGTACCAGATCATGGCAATTATGATAGGCATACGCCAATTGAAATGCAAGATTAAATTTATCATTCCGAGATTACTAAACAAAGTCCAAATAGTAATATTCTTTAAATGTTTCTTTCCTGAGCGATGAATAATATCAAAATCATAAGCTTGTAATTTCATGATCAATCCTTTTAAATAGTTTTGAGGAGTGCTCCCATTAGAATATTAAATATTTTTTTTTCATAAAAAAGTTAAACTATATATATAAAAAATTTTTAAATATACCTCTTGTAACGCCACAAAAACGAATAATATTATCATAAAAATCTACTTTTCGCTAAAGTTTAAAAAACAAAATAGAATTTTTTTGTTAAAAGTTTAAGAAGTGAATATATATCAAAAGATTTATCATATTATAATTTTTTCAATACCTCAATCTTTTAACCGTAGCGTTATTGAAATTAAAAAGATTTCAATGCTAAATATTTATGAGAATTTTCCAGTTCGTACGATAGACTTTTCCAAACCAATTTCTTGAATTTTACTTAAACGTTTGTAATCGTAATGTTTAGAGTAATTGCTTCTAAATGTATATTCAAATAACAACTTTGTATATCATTTTTTTTTTTATTTAAATGGTATCGTGTTACAACGTTGATCAAATTCTAAGCCACAGCACTTACTTTGAAAACGGTGGGGATCACCAATAAAAATCCAATCAATTATTTAGCCATTAACAAAAATAGACTGACCAATAACATAAAATAAATTTTTGAAATGAATCACAGGATTCCTATTCAGTATAATTCAAAAACTAAGCAATAGACTTAATAACGCAAACTTGTAGATAGGAGATGGTAGTAGTTAATATTAAAAGATTAATGTACTTATATATGTTAATAATTTTCTCATTCTGTAAAAGGAAAAAGCTACTTTTTATACAATTAATATATTTCAATATTTTTCTGGTTCATTCAACTGTTTATCCTTTTGGTTTGAAATCAATGAATTAAACAAATTAAGGAAAAATCATTCATATGTGATATTATGTGATATTCCTTAAAAAGAATTTATGTATAAATATATCCTCTTTATTTTTTCTTTATCGAATCATTCGTTTGATAGTAGGATACACATATCATACAAAAAGTACAACTTTTTCAATGTGACTTATAATTGGATTATAACAGTCACACACGTGATATTATTGTCTTCGGATTTTTGACTGGAATTTGAGATCAGCAACGAACCAATTAAATTTCTTAAATAAGAGATTTTCACATCATGTGAATCAAATTTGATTTAACAGCCAAAATTTAAGGCTGAAATTATGTTGATTCTGACCAGAATTAACTTTTTGGGGATGAAAATCTTGGACATCATATTCTTCGCCTGTTGACTGTTGTGTAGGTGGGATTTTTAATGACATAAGCTTTAAATAGACAAATTAAGGCGTTAAGTTACAATAATAATGTAATTCGCGAGTTTTCTGATTTACCAGAAAATTTGCCGATAAAGTATACCTAATTTTTTTTGATTTTTTTGTATTACGCGCATTTTAATTTTGTATAAATACCAGCAAATTAATAAATTATTCATTTAATCTTTTTCCTGAACTCTTTATATCTCTCAACTTCATAATTCATTGTATAAAAAAAAATGACGCTAAATAATAATCATAGAAATTTACACGGTTATTCCGTTAATTTTACTCAAGTAATTCTAAGTAGACGTCGCGCTAGAAGAATTCAGCGCCAAAGACGTAGAACCATGAATAGAATAATTCAGCGTCAAAGACTTAGGATTATGTATAGAAGATATAGAGGGATTTCATCGATCAATAACGCGGATACTTTGGTCAGAATTGCGCAATTACCTTCACAAAATACAATTAATCCATTCGCAAACCAAATGTTCAATGGATCATCATTCTGATTTATTAGTATACAGTATATACAACAAAAATTATTGGATCTGCGTAATTTATTATACAGTTGCCGTTACTTTTGTTTCTTATTACATAATTATATCTTTGATCATTATTGGTAGATTTTTTTTTGTCATATTCTTATTTTTCGTTTCTATTTATTTTTTTTTTATTATGTCACTCATTATATTCATAAGGTGTGATGTATTATTGTATGAATATTAAACGTCTGTATGATGGTATAATGGTAGTTTGTATTAATGGTTTTGTACTGTTTACTTTATTGTTTTAATAAATTGACTTAACAGTTAATCTTGGCGTTAAAAAAAAAAAGTTCTACTTTTCTTTAAAGTCCTTTAAAGTGAATATGTAAACACTGAAAGTAAAAATAAACATATTAGAAAGGCGTTGTATCTTCTTTTACAACGACTTAATAGTGTTCAAAATTGTAAATCTTCGTTTTACGTTATGAATTTCCCATTTACACACTTTTCTTGACCAGGATCTATTTACGTTTATTTTATTTTGTTATTATTTATTATTATTATTAGACTAGTGTCTGGTAAGTTTAAGTAATTTTATATCTTTTATGGTTTTTGTATATTAATCTAGTTCACAGTTAAAACATCTTTACTACGAAAGTGACCTTTTTTATCTTTCATTTAATAGGTGACGAGACGATAGTTTCGATTACATATAATAGATAATTGTATTATAGAAGTTTGTGAATTTAGTGTCATATTGTAATGAGGTTAGTAAACTAATTTATACATATACTATAGGGGAGCGCTGAATACTATAGGGGAAGGGTTATGAATGGAATAATGCTAATATAAGCACATAAGTAGCAAAATGGTTGTAAGTATGATTCTACATATTCAAAGTATCTTAAGCATATTTTTTGTGACAAATGAATTTGAACAATACTTAAATTCTACATTTTAAAGTTAGGTTGAAGAGAATAGAAATTGTGTCGAAAATTAATTATATCAGATATCAAAGTTTGAATCAAAAATGAAAGGAAGCCAATAGATTATTTTTTTTTAAAACTTTCGTTGAAAATTGTATATTTGAGCTGTAATTTTAATATAGTTAAATACGGTAAATATCCAAACGAAAATAATAAAAAAGAAATGAAAAAAATTGATAATTTCATTCAAGAAATGTAATTAAAAATTAATTAAATTAATTATCAAATGATATTGTGGCTGAATGGATACCTGATCAATTCAATAATATTAATAAAGAAAAAGTTATAAATAATTTGACTTCAGTGTATTCAGAAATATGGATGGAAGGTTAATTAAATTATGATGAAAGCAAAAATGAATATATTCGAAACTAAAATAAAAAAGTTATCTTAAAATGTTTACATAATTTTCAAAATATTACAGATGAATTTTTAAATAAGGTATGAAATACTTTATTCATCTAGTTAATTACAATTATATTTTTGATTATACATGAAAGCGTATTTTGTTTCAATCAATTTGAGTAATTTTAAAATTATCATTAGAGTTTTGGTTTATAGGTTCTTTAAACTTGGAACTTGAAGTTGAATTAAATTGACATCAATAATAATTAAATTACATAACATACAAATAAATCAGTCATCAAACAAATACAGTCAATCCCCTATATACTGAGCTTTGAAATTACTACTAGAGGACTACATTTGGATCTGCTTTTGGTTCATTATTATTATTTGACTTTACCATAGATACAATTTCATCATCAGTTAACCCCTTTGTTACTTTTTAAACAATCATCAATATGAAGCAACTCATCTGCATCCATAGGATCATCAAATGGTAGTTTGCTAATTAAATCTTGTAATTCCATTTCATCCCAAAATGCTTCATCAATTTCATCTGTTTGATTCAACGTATCAGTACATAATAAAGATTTTCTTCTCACAATCAAATATTACAAACAGATTTGCTAATAACCTCTCCAAAAAAATCCAAATCAAGATATTATCGGAAAAAAACCACTCAGTAGTGTATTATCCTCTTTCTATATTGGATGTAATAATTGTAGTATTACTGGTCATTAGATGGTGATATATAAATAGTTAGACATAGTGTTAGCACGTTTGGAAATTTCTTGAACACATTATTTTTCCCGAAAATAAACTCCTTTACCTAGTTAAGTAGAGCGGGATATATATATATATTGTACCTAAATCACGAGAAGTGTACAAGTTAAAAAACGCAGAGTTCTTAACATTTGATACAAATGGAAGTCATGTTACCTTTCACATGATACAAATTGGTTATAACAGATAACTAATTTTCGAATGCATTTGTCAGAATTTTTTAATTTTTTCTTTACTGAATCTCTTCAGCAAACGATTTTAGTATTGGTTTATAAAAGTATTTTGCGAAATTGTGCCATAAACCCTTTAAGGTTATCAAAGTATGGAGGGAGTTTCAAGGATATCACGTTCGAAATCTAAAATCATTCCCGATTTGATCGTACCTATCGTTTCTGGTGACCCTTCAACCCATTTCATCAGATTCTTTCGTCCACAATCACTAGCACGTAATTTGCCACGAGAACCTTCATATTCGCAGCAAATCCAGCATAACACATAAAAGAAAGATTCTAGGTCATGTTGAAACGTGTGTTCCGCATTATGTTTTAGAATCTCTATAGCCATGAAAGGTAAAGTTCCGGTTCTGTGACACTGTGAATCCTTTTTTTTTTTAATCACATTTCGTAGCCGAATATTGGTCAAAACAAAGATCAATAGCATAGTCCAAATCTATGATAAATCCCCGGCCATCTGCTCCTATCATAATATTGTATAACGAAATATAATGCGAAATAAATTGCTATGACTTTCTATGGCATCATAGAGGGTGGTGAGCAGTTCTACTTGATCATTGAAGCGGTAAATGAGTTTCCCACATGTAGAGGTAATTAGTCTACGATATTCCGGTTCTCTTAACTGAAAGGTTTGCCCTTTAAAGGAACCAGATGACTTTGATCTCCAGAAACTGGTATAATTTTCATTAGAACTATTTTCTCGTGTTGTTACTTGAAATGTGATTGAGGGGAAGATGTAATTGTTTTCGAATACAAACGAAGGTGTCATCAACTGCTTTGTCTTGGTTGTCTCCATCCTTCAAAGTAACATCTTCGTGATGATAATACTTCACGATCTGTCGTGAGATGGGTCGCCACGAATCCTTTATGATAAACTCATTGTCTGTCATTTCCTTCCCTTTTTTATCCAAACGGTATGCTCTCTAACAGATAGTATCCCGCCCATTTATTACTGTCCGATGAAAAATCGTTTCAATCAACAATAACCTTTCGGTCATTTTATTTTCCGGTTGCTGTTCGTCCCATTTCTCTATCTCAATGCATCCAAGTCTGGAAGGAAAATCCATAATAGGATAATCCCATAGTGGCAAATCCAGTAATTACTCTAATAAACATGGCAGGATCACGATGGATATTAATTGCGTTCGAACTAATGCAGCTTGAACGGTCAAAAAGCCAGACTCTCATAAGACTACCACACAATGTGAACTCAAAGACAAACCTTCTATTATGTTGATCCCGCACAGTTTACCATTTCGTTCGATCCTTTTTTTATGATGTGATTCCTCGTTAACTAGAACAATGTCTGGTTTACATCCTGTTCTTCTTAAGAGGGGACAACAACTTGCATGGACTAGGAATCTAACGGGTCGGATTTTATTACGGTGTTGAATGATAAAATTTGTTATCGAAGTAATGGCGAATAAAATCTTTTCCCTTTGATCCGTCTATTGGTAACTCTACCCATTTGTTTTTCCATTTTCCTTCCTGTTTACATTCTTCTAAATTCGGTCAACTACACACTTATATTTTTCTGTCACTGGAAATAATAAGTCAAAAAACTTATCTACATTTCTGTGCATAATGTGTCCGAGTTCTTGTCGAAGAAGTGGTTTCTGATTTATGGAATGAATTGTTCTTTCAGAACTGGCATTTTGCATTTTACAATTGAAACATATTTTCGGTCAAATTACTAAATATCTTAGGCCATCACAAAAAGAATTATTAATATAAATTAAAAACAATATTCATAATTACACTAAAGATATTACCTATTTATTCTCCTTTATTATTTGATGGTCCTTGGGTAACCGCTGAAATCAAAATAAAATTCTATAAAAGGGGTCATGATACAATAATTGCCTATGTTCTTTTTACTCTAATAAAGAAAGAAATCAAGAAAATAATGTTAAACACTAATATCAATAAGTACAATAACCAAAACTAATTAAGTATTACTATTATTTTTTTTACACATTACTCACCTAATTAACCATAAAGTTTATAGAAACCTTTGAACTAGAAGGAAATAATTCAAAAAGTGAGATAAATCAAGGTTTCACGAAGTTGTGAAATCTAATCTAACCAAGCTGTATGATCTGCAACAAAAGCGATTGGCCTAAAAATTGTGGCTTGTATAGATGTTTATCCAAAAAAAACACGAACTTTAATTCCAACCACTTTTCGGACCGTTCCGGATTTAAAAAATTTACTTAATTAATCTCTATGTATAAATAATGGTGAATCGCGTCAATATACCATTGTTTCCATTGTCTTTTTTTTTTTTAATCTTTCCATATATGAACATAGTACTTATTTATTTATTTATTTATTTATTTTAATAAGCACGTTGCTTTTTTTCAATTATTATAAATACCAGTCTCTTAAAATTGTATATTAGAAATAAAAAATTATAATTTTTCATATTAAATATGCAACAAAATCCTCTTTCTTCGAATGATTACTTAGTATAATATATGATCTTCAAGATTAGGTACAACAAGTTTTATAAATATTATAAAAAGTTTATATCCTACTGCCGTATCAAATAAAATATATTCCTATTAAAGAAAGCCCTTATGCTCGGTTTTGGTTCCATAATTAAAAAAGCTTTTAAGACAAACTTTTTCATTTTTAAACTTTCCAATTCAACCCCAACAAATATTACGACAAAATTCAAAATTTTTTTTTTTGATTCTAATGTTTTCATTAATCTAATATTTTCTGAATTACGATATTAATAAACTGAAACCCTATTTTTCAATACCACATAACATTTATACGTACAAGCTGAACAAGGCTAAGCTCTCTTAATTCTATCCAGAATCTTTATCAATTATATTCTATGACTACATGAAAGCGAAAAATATTGGCACAGATATTACATATTAAACATCTGTCGGAAGAGAATTGTTTTCAAAATAACGATTAATTGAACTTCGAAATTTGACCAAAATTGATTGAAAGCATTTATATCAATTGGTGAGCGTTCCTTATAATACAAAATTACTAGATTTTGAGGCTATACAGTTCACCCTCTCTATAGTGAATTTTATATAGTGAATAACTTGCTATAATGAAGAAAAGTAAGAAAAGTTCAGGTACAGATTTTTTATATATATAATAAAATGACCCTCAGTATAGTGAATTTCTCACTATAACGAATTTTAATCTCCAGCCCATGGGATTCACTATAGTGAGGGTGAACTGTATTAAGTAATAAAAGTTCATGACTAAGATATTTATATTTCCAGATTAAAATGAATAAAGTGTGCTTAAAAAGATTGAATATAAAGATGTTGGATTTGAATTATTTTATTCAATCTTATCGAAATTATGAAATTAAGATCGATACCGCTCTTGAGGTGAAAATTTATGCGCTTTGAATCCATCATATTCTAAAGAACCGTATTTGCACGGTTAAACTTTATATTTTCTACTATTTAACCACCTAGAGATTTTAATTTGTTGGAAAATCGCAGAATTTACTATTTAAATTAATTATTTATGTTAAATGGCGTTCAACTACTAAAAATAGTTTTTCTTTAATAGTGTAATTTAAACTTTCTATAGAATTTATAAAATTTGTTACACCTACTCTTGAAATTCTCGTATTAATATCTATTTTCAACGAGGAAAGGTGAAATTGTTGGCATATTTAAAATGAATTAATTAGGAAAATCAAAAAATTAATATTTATATTGTATAGATTTATGTTAAGTATTTAATAAAAAAGATCGTATATCAGATTTCTTTTAGCAGATTATGAAAATTATTAATGTACTTTTAATTATTTAAAATATTCAAATAATTTCTGATGATTTTAATTTACAATATTCAAGGTGGTAAAGTCAATAAATTGGGAACAAATTATGGATTTCGTCGACGATGAGAAATCTTGAGAAAAAAACATACTATAGTTTTAAAACTAAAGACATGTTAATTCAATCAAGATAAGTACTTTATAATAAAATCGACAAAATAGTAGAAAATAATATTAGGGAGAATTAAAAAGAACAATTATAAAAGAACACGATCTTATTACATTAAAGAGAAGAAAAATTTTGAAAAAAACATATCATATTACGCGTAAAATTATTAATTGTCAAAACTTTGAAAGCAAGTAAAGTCACGTGATATTTCACTTAATGCCATAATGCCGGCCGGCCATATTGTAGGCTTTAGATTGATTATGATTGCTACGCCAATGGCTATAATTACTGAATAGCATTTATATTTTTTATATTTGATAGAACTAGAGAATTTATTGGTTTTCGGTGGTCCATGATTGATCAAAATTGATTAGCCATACCTAATCGATGTATTAACATTAAAAGCATTTCATTAAAGAAGCACATTGAATATTGAATAATATATTTAAATTTCAGTCGGTCTTATTTTCTGTCGTTTATTTGAACTAAATTTAATTGGTCAAGTCTATGCAAAAACTTTTTTATTTAGTTCGATTATATTAATATATTACTTTGTCCAGCAAGAACTACCGCAAAGTCATGTACTTCTACAAGTTTTGTTTAATTGATCCAGGCACAAATACTTGGACCATGATTGCCAATCATCGATAGGATAATTAGTCTTGTGATGATGTTAAATAAGTTAATTAAAAATTGTAAGTTGTTAAGCATTTTAGCATTTTAGCATTTTAATAGCGTTTAATAAAAGACATAATTATTAGTCGTTTAACTTGTTTAATCTATTCTTTACATATCGTCCATCAAGGCTCATGAATAGGAGGAACCTTAACAGTGATAATATAGAGTCATCACATATGATAATAACATTTCTCTATCATTGAAGAAAAATAACATTTTCATATAATGATTGAAACTAATGTGATGTGATACCTTCATCATATTCAGGGGTCCTGGAATGAACTTCGGAAGTCACGTGTTCAACAATCGCGATCTCTAAGTTGTCTAACTTTAATTTGAGATCTACAATTTTTATGGAAATATTTGCATAATATTTATTAAATCTTACCCTATCGACTACGGTATCAACTCATGGAATCTGTAGATAATCTCGTAAATTGATAAAATTGATAAGGTATTATTTAATTATGGAAAATTTTGTCTTACATTTCGTTTATGAATAAGACCTCGCGCAATTTTTGTGAAATAAATAAATTGTGTAATGCAGTATTAGATTCTTTAGCCTTTAGAATTTAAATTTAACGATTCTCATTATTCGTGATAATTGAGAATTAAACTAAAATACAATTTTATTTGTATATTTTCTCCGAGTCAATAAACATTTCATCAACATTTACGCTCAAGTGATATCAAGTGATGTCGTTCGCATACAAATACTTATATAATTTAGGTAAGAATAATCTTTCAATATTTCAAATTTAGATATTGAATAAATCCCTCATTTTGTGAAACAAATATTTGA